GGGGGGGGGGGGGAAGAGGGCCTGCAGCCACTGCAAAATTCACTGCAGCCCTCTATAGTCCCCCCACACCCAGCACCACTGCCGCCCGTCCTGAGCATTGCCCAGGTCCAGCCCCCCCTGCCAGGAAGAGGCTGGTGCAGCCTTCAGCCCCAAGTGCACAGCCCACCCTCACCCCACACAGATCTGGGGGGCACGTACCCCCTATGCCTCCCCTGGGGGTGCACACATTAGCAGAAGCTGCCCTGCCACCCCCCCACCCCAGAAGAGCCATGGCTCTGCCCCATGTCCCACCCGAGCTCTGCAGCACCTGCCCCTGCCCCAGCCCCACTTCCTCCCTCACCACAGGGGCCTCAATCTGCCCCCCTCCCCCCCAAGTTTACCGGCTGGACGCTGCTCTCCAAGTTGCTGGGCTGTATTCCTGGCTGCATGCATGCATGCTGCTGCTGCACACTTGCGCATAGCATTTATCAGCGACATTAAATCTGCTGCACCAGCCAAAAAAAGTTGACTGCTGATAATGTTAATTTTCCTTTTATCGGTGCTGAAATTATAAGGAACAATGCATTGGTGCACCTCTATTTTTTAAAAATAATTACAGTCTGGTGCAGCAACTATAGCCTGAGCCCATGTGCAATTAACATTTCCTTTTTGACAGTCCAAAAGGCACAAATGCAAGGTGATTATTGAAACAGTTCACACTACAACTACACTTACAACATGCAAAGTATCACTGCTGAGGTTACAGATCTACAGGTTCCCTAACGGTCACAAGTGTATTTGTTTTATATGCCACCTTTCCCAAAAAAAGGTTCAGAGCAGCTTACAATAAAAAACAAAATAACTTATAAAACCAGGATAAACTATTAAAATAATATGGCATATATCTCAAAAATAAATCAGCAACAATGATATACTTACAATTTGACACAGACATTTATGCTCATTGACAAGTTTTTCTAGAGATAAACACTCTATTACATCTGCTTCTGCCAAAGCTCCTTCTCTGTCTTGTTTATTTGCTAGCCTAGAAAAAAAAAGGAGACCAGAAGTGAGAGGACAAGAGAAGATACCCATCATCATGAATCAAAATTGAAGTCAGCAATATGAAGAGGCTTTAGCAAAACTCCCAATATACACGTTATAAAAATTAAGGATAGATAGATGGGAAAAAAGAAAGAAAGAAAAACAGTAAAGAAAGATTGCCACTTGTCTCAGTTACAGTACCTACATCCTTAACCACTTAAAAGAGAAACAGTAATCATCAGTCCATATACCATTTTCAATATTCAAAGAGCTACACAAATATTGCTCCTCACAATGCATCAGTATTTTAGGTAGTTATAATTTACAAAGAAGGGGATGGAGGCAGAGTGCTTAAGTGATTTGTACTCAAGGCCACAGCATAATTAGGCTACAACAACCTCTAAGTTTAGAGCAGCCAACTTGCAGATTCCCATGTCAGAAATTGTCCCCATCCTCATTCCTCTGCATCAGAAGTTGGCAACGTACTGCTGACATGCCGGATCTGACCTGCAAAGAGATTTAACTGGCCCACAACGCATGCCAAAAAATAATTCCACTGGTAGTCGGTCATAATTAGGCTTGTTGTCCCTGGGACTAACACAAGGGGTTGGTAGCCACTGGCAGCCCACTGAGCTCAACAAGTACCATTGTGGGGGAAGTGGGTGGTCAGGAATGGGTCCACAGCACCTTGGCTGGAAGAATCATTTAGGGGCTCAGGCAGTGGCAGGCAGAGTGTGTCTATGCAGGAGCAATGTGGTAGAAAGCAGGAGTGGCAGGTAGTGGGCAAGGCAGGGTTAGGGGCTTGAATATAGAAGGTTTTTATGGTGTTTAGGTATTTGATAGAGCCTGTGGAACAAGCCAAAGGGCTGGAGCTGAATCTGTACAACAGATGAGAGAAGGATAAGGAAAGCAGCAAGGTGATATAGCTACAACTAATTACATTTTCAGTGGAATATAGAGCTGATATTTATTGCTTGAATTCAGTCTGGCATGTGGCTAGATACCAATTCTTAATAGAAGAAGGTCTCATTGACAATGCTGTTGAGAAACACTTTTCTTTACCCAGCTGCATCAGGTCCAGAGAGCATGACTATTCTTGGAAGCGGATCTTGCTGCCATAATCCACTGCTTTATGACTTCAGGAGTAGAATACTCTGCTGTGTTCTATGCAAGGCTACACCCAAAGTCCAACAGAAACGTAACCTGGCACAGAACTCAACAGCCATCGTTGTGGGTAATATATTTATCTCAGTATGAGCAGAACGCAAGCAGACAATCATTCACTGTAGGACTGCTCCAGAACAAAGAAGAGTACTTTCATATAAAAAAAAAAAGTGAGTCAGTATCTTAGAACCAATTTAAATTAAACTGGACCATCGTTTTAGTTTTTAGAAAACTTACGCCACTCCCCACTGTTGCCAGTGAAAACAGTTTTTAAAATAAAATCAGTGTTCCCTTGAGACATCTGAAATTCATTCAAAGCTGCATTAAGTGCCTGAAAGTAAAATAAACTAGTTTAGAGTTGAAGACAAGAAAAGTATAATAAATAAGGAGCACAAATGGTGACAAGTACAACTTTGTGCTTATGACGCATGATTTGGAAGTTGTAAACATTCCCTTTAAACAAGGACTTCTACCCATGTGAAATAAGTCACTCACTCGTAAAACTCTCTTAAGAGGTCAGTCATACAGAAGAAAGGGCACAATGTCAGTGTAATTTAACCTGCGTTGGAGGAATCAGGCACCAAATCCTGTTCCAGGAACGTAATTGAGCCAGGGTTGCCTGTGCTTGGCTTGCTGAGGGCAGTTTGGTGGGTTTGTATGCTTGGGTGGGGTGTGTTCTCTGAACAGCTGAGTGGACCGATTGCTGACTGATTGCTGCCTGGGTGTGACAAAGGGCCTAAGCCAGGCCAAAGAGAGATCTATAAGGTCACTCTAAGGAGGGGGGGAGGTAAGCAAACAGGACAGTTTGCAAGCAGTTCAAGTCAATTTGCAGGTCAGTTTGCTGCCCCCTCTTCGAAGAGAAGCCTGTAAAGTGAGATTCTTTTTTTCTTTTTTTTTAAATATGTGATTAGGGCTGACTAGCCTACATGTTTTATTTCAACAGCTAAAACTCAGCAGCTAGACCAAGACTTAAATCCCTTGTTTAACTAGATACCAGAACAAAGGGGAGCTTGCTAGGGAGTTTGCTTGGAAACACTCACATTCTTTTACTGTAAGCTTGCTGAGAGGAAAGAGGTTTGCAGAGAAAAAGGATCAAGGAACAGCAGGATCAAGGAACAGCATCAAGAAAAAGGATCAAGGAACAGCAAACAGGCCAGTTACAGAGCAGTTTGCTAGGGAAGATCTGCTCAGAAAGAGAGGCAGAAAGTGAAAGGCAGCAGGTTAAAAGACCCAGAGACATGGCTGGAAGACGCTGCAATCCCAGAGCCACTGCCACTTCCAGCTCTTCCTCTGCTTCCACCTGTGAGGCAAGACCACACACCATCGGGGCTTCCACCCAGGTCCTGGTTTGGCACTGAGCAGACTGTGGCTTGCAGGTTCCTTCCAATATCAACCAGGTGGGAGAGTGCCTGCAATACGAGCAGCGCCTTCTGGTAGTGTCCCTCAGGGAGAAGGCAAGGTGGTGGTGGTTAGAGACTCCCTCCTGTGGGGGAAAGAGGGATCCATCTGCCAGCCTGACCTGTTGTCTCAGGAGGTCGGCTACTTGCATGAAACCAGGATCCAAGATGTCATGGAAGGATTACTGAAACTCATCCAACCCTTGAACTACTACCCTATGCTGCTAATTCATGCGGGCACCAATGATACTGCCAGGGGTGACCTGACCAAACCAAGAGTGACTACAAGGCTCTGGGTGCAAGGGTGAAGGAGATGGGGGTAGAGGTGGTAGTCTCCTCAATCCTTCCAATCAAAGGAAAGGGCCCTGGCAAGAGCAGACGCATCCTGCAGATCAATGCATGGCTGCTCAGGTGGTGTCACCAGCAGGGATTCAGCTTCTTTGACCGTGGGATGCTGTTCCAAGATGAAAGATGGTGGAAAGAGACGGGATCCACCTGGTGAAGAGACGGCAAAGAGCACCTTTGCTAACTTAATGAGGAGGGCTTTAAACTAGGTTCACCAGGGGATGGAGTCCAAAGCCCTGAGGTAAATGGGGAAGCACAAGAACTGGAGGAAGCACAAGGAGGAGACAACAGGGGAGGCCCTCCTTATTCTCCCTGAGAAAATGGGGCAATCAACTAGTTGCCTCAGGTGTCTGTACATAAACGCATGGACCTTGGGAAACAAGCAGGAAGAACTGGAAGTCCTTGCACATTCACAGATCTATGACACATTTCGAACAGCAGAGACTAGTGGGATAGCTCAGATGACTGGAGCACTGTCATGGGTGGGTACAGGAAGGACAGGCAGGGGAGAAGAGGAGGAAGAGTTGTACTGTATGTAAAAGAAAATGTATGATTGCTCCAAGCTCCAGTATGAAACTGGAGATAGGCTAGTTGAAAGTCTCTGGAGTAAAGTTAGAGAGGTAAGCAACAAGGGTGGTGTCATGGCGAGTGTCTGCTATAGACCACTTGTGGAAGTTTCCTGATTATAGGCCCTGGTTCTCATGGGGGACTTCAAATCACCCTAAAATCTGCTGCGAGGACAATAAAGCCATGTACAGGCAATCCAAGAAGTTTCTGGAGAATGCTGGGGACAACTTCCTGGTACAAGTGTGTTGGGGAGACAAACTAGGGGCTGTTCTTCTTGACCTGCTGCTCACAAACAGGGAAGAATTGGTGGGGGATGTAGAAGTGGATGGCAACTTGGGCAGCAGTGACCATAAGACAATCAAATTCAGGATCTTGACTAAAGTAAGAAACGAGAGCAGCAGAGTATAGACCCTGGACTTCAGAAAAGTAGACTCTGACCCCACTTGGGGAAAGATGGGCAGGAAACCCTTGGGAGGCCAATCTAAGAGGGGAAAGGAGTCTAAGAAAGCTGGCTGCATTTTAAAGAAACCTTACTGAGGAGATAGGAACAAACCATCCTGATGTGAAGGAAAAAATAGCAAACATAGCAGGTGACCAGGTTGGTTTAGCAGAGAACTGTTTGGTCAGCTTAAATACAAAAGGAAGCCTACAGGAAGTGGAATCTTGGAAAGATGACTAGGGAGAAGTATAAGAATATTGCTCAGGCATGCAAGGATGAAGTCAGAAAGGCCAACGTGCAAAAGTTACTAATGCAAACCTTAGCTAGACTGTGAGGTATTCAGCATAGAGACTGAGTGCTTGGGTATTACCCAGAGCAAACCAACCCTGATCCTGAGTAGAGCTTTTGAGCACTACCAAAAAAACCAAAACAAAAAACCATAAAATATCATGTATTAGCTAACAGTTGGAATTTTTCCAACCATCACATTGCTACCATTTATACTGCAAACAATTTAGCTCAAGGTGTATCAACACAAATGCATTCTAAAAAGGGTAATTTGTGAAGCTTTTTGCAAACTGCCGAATAGATTGGCTTCAAGTACAGGCAGTCCTTGACTTACGATGTTTCAAGTTACAACAAACAGCACTTATGACATTTATAAATTGACACCGTTTCGATTTTCTGATGTCAGTTTCGACTTTACGATGCTTGATCTGACGCCACACCATGCCAGCGAACAAGTTCGCTGCATCGCCCATCTCCCTGGAGAACATCTGTCCAAACTTCCTTGTACACTTTCTTTAAGAAAGCAGACAAGACTCCAGAAAAACCTGCAGCCAAGACTCCTGAGAAGACTCAGCCAAGAGCCCTTCAAAAGTCCAACCAAGAGCCCTTCAAAAACTCCAGAAAAGCCACCTCAAAGAAGTTCTTCCAAATCAATATGATTGCTATTTACAATATAGTGTAGCTGTATTACTCATCTATAATTGACTGAGTACAAAATTCTGGGTTATTTCTGGTGAAAATAAAGTTTTGGGCCTTGGTTCAGGAACCAATCCCCCATTTATAACATTGTTCCTATGGGAAAATTGGTTCCAAGCTACGTTTCGACTTAAGACGTGCTTTTCAGGAACCAATTGTGTCGGCAGACTGCCTATAAAAAGGTAAACTGGAGGGCTAGTCAGATGGGAAAGATAATGTGTGACAGTCGATACATTACAGGTACAACAAAAAGCTATTGCACAATACTATCCAAAAAGCTGTAAAAAAGGTTGGGAAGTCTGAGTAATGGAAAAATTGTCCTGTCAAGTCAGTGTTCTAAGGAGAGAAGGGAAAAAAATTCTTATTTCAAAATCTGGTGACAATTTTTTACATTTGCTGAAAAGAATCTTCTGTCTCCAAACCAGAAAGTTTGAACAATGTCTTTGAATATTGAAAGCAAGATCAAATTCTATGAGCTAACAGTTGAGAACAAATTAAATATGTTTCAAATGTAGAAGAAAAGCAGATATAAGTAGGAGACAGTGAGCTTTGCATTATGTAGAGTTCTGAGGAAAAAGAGAGGGTGAGTTAAGCAGGTTACGTAGAGAGATGAAGAAACACAAAAGCTTAACATGGACAGAAACAGAGGAACTCTCTAACGAAGAGACGAAAAAAACATGACTTCTGTGGACACTGACTTGAGTAAGGGATGACAACTAATGGAAAACAGATATCTCTTTATGTATATTTTAGGGAAATATCTTTAAATGTTAAATTTGTTATTTGATTATTTGGATTTGTTAATAAAGTTTTTATAAATGCTAGGAGGTATTTAAAATAAAGTTTATAAAAATGCTAGAAAGGAGGTGAATTGTTTCCATAAACATCATCAAGTTTTATTTTAAAACAAAAAAACCCACCAGGAACATATGACTTATGAGTACATGTGTAGAGAAATTAAATTATAGTGTCAATGTCATAATATGTACTGTCTGAAAGAATTAAAATGAACACTTTGAGAAGAATCTAAGACGTAGCAAAGCAGAACTACAATAATTATTCCTAATTGATGCAGGTCAGTCAAAGGACAACAATATGAAAAAGAAAAACTTATGATACCCATTGTCTTAAAACCTAATCATGACAACTAAAGAAGGAGCTTTCTATGATTTAAATAAAGGTAGCTTAAGGTTAGACTTCCAAGCCAAAACCATAGGGACCCACATTTTTGTGGATGAAAAATTGAGATTTAATGCTCTAGATACAAAATACTTAGGGAGTAGAATACAGAGTCATAAAAGCACTGCAAATGACTTATCTAGACTGGGCAAAGTAGCCAGGGTATGGACTAAACTGGTGAAGAAAACCCAGAAAACTAATAAAAAACAATAGGTTGATAGGTCCTACCATTGCTGTACATTTTTCCTTTGTATTATTCTTTCAAGTGAACTTTTAAACAGAGTTAAAGACTTAAGTTACTGACTATACAACACAAAGATTGCTCTGTTGGGTTCCCTCTTTTCCAAGTAAGTTTTGTAAACAGGCTTATGATCCTTCCTTCCACATACTTTTTGCAGTGTAAAATGGATCTCCCATTCAAGGAGTAATTTGAAATGAGTACTGCACTTAATATTGTATGTGCAAACATACCATACTCCCAGCCTACAAATACTGTATCTAAGGAGCTCGTCACAGACACTCCTTGCGATTGGTCTGTTTTAATAAAACAATCCGCCCCCAGACAAGGCTGAGTTCCAACAGGCAAAACCAGATTCCCCAACTGTAAAGTAATCAATTTGCTCTTTTACTGCAGTACTAACAAGTAAGCTTCCTTCTCAGAGCACAACCCTCTGAAATGACCTGGCTCCCTCAGGTTGATTAAGGAGCATTAGGCGCACAGAAAATGTTTAATGGAAAGCCACTCACAATCAATTATTTAAGCAAGCATTCAAAAAAATACTTTTCAGATTATACTGAGTTTGCCCTCAGAAGTAGGATTTCTGCACTGGAGGACCTAAAGAAACTGCCACCATCAGAAGATTACAAGGTAAGCTGCATGCCTTTATTTTGTATTAAAACTTGCATATAATACAGAAAACGGGCTGCATTAAAGTTTAGAATGGAAATAGCTATGTGTAAAGATACAAATAATGGATTTCTGCCCTGCTCAGAATTTGATAGCGTTACTAGCAAATATGTTCTCAGAGCTCTGCTGCTCATGCACATGAATGTTAATTTGCTAGACAAGTTTTATTCATAAAACTTGTTTCTTTTGGAAGTACATCAGAATTACCTTAAAGGAAAAACTTGCTTTTAATTTTCCAAGTCAATAAAACAGTCTGCTTACCAAGATTCATACTTCAAAACTGTGGGAGGTGTGTGGCAAAACATACTTGAAATTATATGCCTAAAGTGTGCTCTATTTGATTTATCAAATTAAAGTTTACCAAATGAAAGAACTTGGTTCCTCCTTGTGTTTTCATACTTGTTCCCTTCCTCCCAGGTACTGCATATTGATAACTGTATGGCTGCTTATATTAAAAGTGAAACCGCTGAAACATTTTTAGGTTGAACAGATCTTTATTACAGCTAGAGAACTACTGAACTTTATTTGAAGAGTCCTAGGAAAGGGAGGGTTTACAACCCAGTAATTATACTTCTCTTAAATACCAGGAGTGCACTCAAGTTAAAATATGAAGCCCTTTAAAAATGCTAATTTTATTTTACTTTTGGATTTGCCTTTTTCTAGAACATAAAGCTATTTAAGCCAGAGAAAAACAATTTATAGTGCTAAAATTTTCTAAAAGCCAAAAATTTAAAAGTTCAAAAGGTTACGAGGTGGATTGATCTAGACATGGAAAAAAAAAAAAGACATTTATGTTACACATTCATTCTCTCTTATTCTAACTTACACCCAAAAGTAAAGAAGTGTTCCAAATGCTTTCTACTTTTCTAGTAAGCCTGCTGCATTTCCACTTTTTTAAAGTTTTTCTCTCAGTTTGCATGAAGATCTACAAAGTTTTAATTTGGTCCTCTTTGATTCTCATATATTATCAAAATGCAAATACCAAAAGGAGAGCACTGGCTCCTTAAAGAAAAATCCACTGACAATGATTAAAAAAAAAGTATTTAAGAAACATTCTATCGGATCAGTTTGAAGAGCCTGTCATTATGGAACCTAAAAGTTTTGGGCCAAATTTGACATGACAGGATAAATCATATGGTTTTGTTTAATGCATTAAAGGCTTTAGAAACAACTATACAAAATTCTAATAGATGTGGCATACAAGACTCATGAACAATGAAATAAATGTCCAGGAGGTCAAAATGACAGTACCAGTACTGTGAGCATTGACTGAAGTATTTCAAAAGGAATGTGTTTCCATAAGCAACATTAGTTTAATCTAGAGATTACAGACCTGGGTCTCATACTAGTGTGATTATTATTCTGTGGAGAGAATTCATGCACGTGTTGTGAGGAAAAACAAGAGAGATGGCAGTTGCAGTTGACCTTTTCAGTTACCAACAAAAGAAAACGGATATGTTCTTTTTGGGGGTTTTTTATGGTGTACAGGGAAAGCATAAATTTAATTAAAAAGTCATGCCTAGTCAACCAACTTCTTTTTGAAAGGTCCTATGGACAACTACTAAAAAGAATGACAGGCTGGTACCCGAAAACTGAAGCCTGTGCAATCAAAGGCAGGAGAAGATTTTTCTTCTGTTTACATTTTGTCTTGTTCCTACCCAGGAAACAACCTCCTGATCTATCAGTTATGAAGATTTCTCCCCCCTCAATTTTCTATCCATTCTCTTCCAATTAAGGGCAGAACAAAATTTTGTCCCTCTTCTATAGCACTTCAAGTAACCCCCCAAAAAATCACCGAAGACAATATTCTTGATTTCTAATACATGAAACAGATACATACAAGAATTCACACATACCTTCAGACTTTCCTAATGCACTGTAAAGCATTGAGAACAAACCTTTGATGCCCCCTCCTTCCTTGCCTCTTGCAAAGATAATGATCAAATAAAATATTACAATAAGAAATGTATTTTATATATGAAATGGACACTGATCTACAAAACAGTTTCCTTGTTCAGCGCCCCTAAGTAACAGCCCCCGGTCAAATTAAGTTATAAAGACAAAAGTAACAATTGCATTCCTTCACTGCCCTTTCATGTGAACCACTCCTGTCTCATTTCTGAATAGTCTTTCCATTTACTTGAAAATGTTTCCCTGATACTCTCTCCACCCTGTATCACTTGAATCACTCTTGCTGATCAAACAGGCTCGATCCAAAGAGAAATTTGAGCTCAGGGTGAGGATGTCCAAATTCACCTTCTGGTTGAAAGACAGGCAAAGGATTCTGTAACAAGTATTGCTGTACAACTCTTAACAGGATTCAATTTTAAAATGTCAGCCTACTGTTTGCACTGTTCTGGACCTAGAGAGGACTTCTTTGTCCAGGCTGCAGCTAGTCAACCCACATTTGATTAGTGCAATCAAGTAAAACAAGCCTGCTGCTAACATTTTGGAACTGGTGTGTAAGCTCCTGCATTTTATTAAGGGTTGGTTTCCCAGTTAAAATATTAGCAGCCTGTTATGACACCTGTGCAATGAAACCAAGCACTAGCTAGCACTCCACATGAACTCTTAAGTCTGCAATTCAGCAAGTCAGAAAGGCAGAACATCATAGTCTCCATATTGCAACCAGACTCACGAGAAGGTCATTGCCTCACGATTCAAACTCTGCTCAACTTAGACTCGATTTTTCCATACATTTGCTTTTCCTACACCTTCCTCTTCTCAATTTACTGCCTCTGTAATATAGCAGTAGGTAAACTTTCAATCCTGTCATATCAGTCAGGTCCACTGTTTTCACTTGAGGAGTTGTGAGGTCTGTGGGTGTGGTAGCACATTTTCCTTAGTAAATAAAGTATAGGTGCAACTACTCACATGTTGTACCTAACAATAAAATAAATAAAAGCTAAACTTCTGAAGTTCACATATTTCAGTATCGCAGTTACTCATTTTGTAAACAAGCCTCTGCCCACTTTGTAAAAAGAACAATGATAACATTAACACTTTGATATTAGTAAGATTAAAACACCAGAAAGTTAAAAATAAAACAAAAACTCCTCTGTTCTGTTTTCAAATCAGGTGTCTCCTCTGTCAATTACAGAGAATAATTTCCTGTAGCTAGTAAAAACTAGAGTTTTGTCAGACTGGACACCAAAGTGCAGCATAAATTAGGATTACTGTTTACAGTGTCAAAGAAGAGGACACTTCTGTTGAGGGTGGGGGAGCGAGGGGGAAAAATGATATGCTGGTGCCCTGCCCTGCCCCTGCTGTTGCCCCTCACTCTGAAGCCACAGCACCACCCCTCCACAACTGCTGCTGCCCCTCACTCCCGACCCACAAACCCCTGGCTCTGCTGATGCCCCTCACTCCCAACCCTCAGTACCCAACCCCCCGGGTCATGCTGGTGTCCCTCACTCTCAACCCGCAAACCCCCGGCCCCCCATCCCTGCTGGTGCCCCCGCACTCCCACTCCACAGTCCCCCGCCTACCCTGGTACCCCTCATTCTCAAGCCAGACCCCACAGCCCCAGGGCCCTCCACTACTGACCTGCAGCCCTCTGCTCCCCCCAAGCCCTGCAGCATCTCCCAGCCGCCCTGTCCCTGCAAGCAAGGGCCCAGCCCCAATGCTGCCAGCAAGGCTACGCAGCTCCCCACTGCCCCCTTTGTCTGCTGAAGGGGCAGCCACCTCCCCACAGGTCCTTCTGCAGCCCCAGTACCTAGACAGCTTCTCCCAGTGCCAGCAGGCACCTGCTCCCCAGACTTACCTGCATCCAGCTGCCGGGGCTGCTCCCAGCACCCTGCCTGGCCACATGCATGTGCATGCCCCCTGCCTCTAACTACCCTCCCCCCATTTCCCCCAGCAGCTCTTTGCTCGGGCAAGCCAGGAAGCGCCGGAAAAAACTTTGATGCTGAGCAGAGCAAATTCCGGAACATTTATCCATATTTTAAAAAACTGCCCAGACTGAGATCAGAGGACTCAAAAAGAAGATGTGTCCAGGAAAACCTGGACATATGGGAACCCTAGCATAAATGCCATATAGTGCTAATGTCCTTTTATGGAAGCCACGGCACATGCACTTACCACCTTCATTTCCATCTGCCAGAACATCCCTCCCTCCCAACCCCAAAATCATGGAAGTACAGTGCAGCAAAACAGTGATTCTCCTGTACCCACAAAGAAATGCCATATCGAAAGGTGTGCATGAAGAGTGTCCTTAAGGAGCAGCCACAATCCTTGAAGCACAAAGGAAGTCCATTCCCATGTGGACAAAAGGTAACAGAAGGGCTGGGAAGCCCTCTTGGCTAAACAGGGAAATCACAGTCCTCTTAAGAAAGAAGAAAGGGGCTTATGAACAATGGAAGCTTGGAGCAGGCCCCAAGGAGAACTATTCCACAATGTCCCGCATTTTCAGGGAACAAATAAGAACGGCTAAAGCAGCACCCGAACTTAGATTAGCAATGGAAATCAAGGACGACAAGAAGTCCTTCTTTAGGTACATAGGGAATAGAAGTAAAACAAATGGGAGTGTAGAGCCGTTGCTCAGGAGAAAGCTGAATTCCTGAATGACTACTTCGTCTCCATCTTTCACTGGACCAAGGGGAAAACAATGCTATGTAGAGTAAAAGATGAGCATGATAGGAATAATCGCCTTTCTACTATTGCCATAGAATAGTAGTATATGACCAATTAAAAAATTAGACATATACAAGTCAGTGGGACTGGATAATCTTCATCTGAGAGCGCTGAAAAAGAGCTGGCCGAAGTCATTGCAAAACCCCTGGCGAAACCCTTCCACAAATCGTGATGCTCTGGAGAAGTCCCTGAGGACTGGAAGAGGGCCAATGTTGCACCCATAAACAAAAAGGGCAGGAGGGAGAACCCAGGTAACTACAGGCCAATCAGCCTAACTTCCATCATAGGGAAAATCCTAGAAAAGTTCATCAAGGAGTCTATCTGCGATAAGCTTGCAGAAGGTAAGATTCTGAATGACAGCCAGCATGGCTTTGTCACGGGCACGCCTTGCCTTACCAACCTCATCTCCTTCTATGACTAGACAACTTGCCACCTCGATATGAGAGAGCAGGCTGACATTGTATACACCTTGACTTCAAGAAGGCCTTTGATCTAATATCCCATTGTCTTGCGAGAAAATTGGAGGATTGTGGGCTTAACTCTGAGCCATTCAGGTGGGTGAGAAAATAGCTGCAGGATAGAACCTAGAGAGTCGCAGTAAATGGATGAGTCATCCTGGTGAGAAGTGGGCAGCAGCATCCTGCAGGGGTCGGTGCTTAGTCCAGTACTTTTCAACAGCTTTATTAACGATTTGCATGTGGGGGTGAAGAGCTCACTGGCCAAGTTCACAAATGACACCAAGTTATGGTGAAGCGTGGTCACACTTGAAGATAGGCTACAGATACAGGTGGCCCTAGACAGGCTAGCAAGTTGGGTGGATCAGAATCTGATGAAGTTCAACGTCAAGAAGTGTAAAGTGCTCCACCTTGGGACGAGCAACTCCCAACACACCTACAGGCTTGGCAGCACCAAACTGACTAGCACCACGAATGAAAGGGACCTGGGGGTAATAATAGACAACAGTATGAATATGAGCCTACAGTGTGATGTTGTAGCCAGTAGGGCAAATAGTACTCTGGCCTGCATCAATCAATGCATCTCCAGCAAAACCAAGGAGGTGATTCTCTTGCGCTACTCAGCACTTGTGAGACCACAGCTAGAGTACCGTGTCTAGTTCTGGGCACCATACTTTAACACGGACATGGACAAGCTTGAGAGAGTCCAAAGAAGAGCCACCATATGATCACAGTCTTACACAGCAAGCCATACGAAGAAAGGCTGAGGTACCTGGGACTCTTCAGCCTGAGGAAAAGGCAGCTGAGAGGGGACCTGGTAGCAACTTACCGCTACACTAGGGGAGTACATCAAGGGCTCGGTGAGCAACTGTTCACCAGGGCACCTGAGGGGAAAACTAGGAGTAATGGCCACAAATTCCTGGAAGACCGATTCAGGCTCAACATTAGGAAAAACGTCTTCACAGTCAGGATGTCCAGAGTGTGGAATAAGCTCCCTCCAGAGGTGGTGCAATCATCTACCCTGGAAATCATCAAGAAGAGGCTAGACAGTCACCTTGCTGGGGTCATCTGACCCCCAGTTATCTTTCCTGCTTGATGCAGGGGCTGGACCCGATCTTCCAAGGTCCCTTCCAGCCTTACAAATCACTCAGTTAACATTTATTCCCTTATTATTCCTGTTGCAGCACTGCTGACAACACAGGATTCTTGGGTTCCAACAGATCCCCGCATTTCACAGTATGCATCTCAGTTCCAATCATAAATAGCAGTATTAAAATTTCAATACAGGACAACATGGAGAGAAGAAGCTGTTGTTGAGTGCACTAGAAGGTCATGCTAAGTCATAACAAGCTATTATTTCCCTCTCACCTTGCGAACAGGCCTGTCCTCTACCCTGTATTTTTTCTGAGCTGCCCAAGATACCCTGCCCATTCACCATATCAGGCACCAAACCATCAATAAATCTAGCACTCCCCAGAACAAAGATGCTATTACATTCTGCAGTTTCCTTTCAGGTTTACCAGTCTCAAAAACTTCCAGTCCCCTTTCTTTACCTCTGAAGATTTTTCTTGTTCACCATTCAGCACCCTCCCTCTCCATAAAGCCAACTTGTTTTCACAACTGTCAGAACATACTTCTTCCACCTAATACAGCTTTCAGTTTTACATGTACACATAACTATCGCCTTTTCCCAGTAGCCAACTTTATGCTAATCATGAAGCTCAAAGACCTTCTGTTCTTCAAATATACTACCTTTGACCCCATGCACATTCCCTATTCTTAACTCATACCAAAGCCTCAGACCAGGTATACAGATGAGGTACTTCCATTATATTTTCTCAAGGACCCTCATAGCAGGGCTCTCCTAAAAGGAATCAGAGGCAGAGACTACCAGCAAAAGTTTCTCCCCTTGCAGCCAAGGCTAGCCCCTAAAGCACTCACTCCAGTACAGCCCCTAAACAGCAGTGTTTAAAAAAATAGAAACTGATCTAACTGGCTTGAGTCTGGCACAGAATCTGAGAAATTTGATCTATTCAAAACTATTTTTAAGTAATATATTTTTCCCATGACATTATCTACTTAACATCTCAAAGCAGCAACTGCTTGTTTTTTTAATTTTAAAGATGATCCATTTTTCTTACTTACCATTTGACAAACAAAAAGATTTTTAAACCTAGAATTACCTTGAATGCCCTGTAAGCCATGTCATTAATTAAAAAGAAACTTAATTTTTTTCTGCTTCTATTTTAACGCTGCATTAGGGTAACTTTAACAGAAAATTCTTAATGAGTTTAATATATGAACACTAGGTGCTCTATGAATGGACAGACAGACAGACAGAGAGAGGCAGGAGACAAGATTTTTTGAATATGCTTGTACATAGTTTCATAAACATTCAATTTTACGGCATTTACCATGAGCAATTTTCCATTAGAAAAAAAGAGAAAAAAGGTAGTATCAGCTGTTTACAGATACACAAAAGGATAGAATCCAAAACCATTTTTCTGCCATTTGCTATAAGAGATATTTAATTAAGTAACTGCATTTTTAAGAACTTTTCAATAAATTTTATTCATTCAGTACATAGACCTATCTTTCTATCTCACAAACACTAATGATGCTCTCACGGCTTGCTTTTTAAACCACAGGCTTGTCAAGCCACACCAAATTACTAAGGGTCAACAGTCATGTTAGGCTATGTTAAAACAGATTTTCAGGTCACTTCTCTGAAGTCTTATTTAGCACTCATGATTATTTTCACATACCCAATATGAACTTTCCCAGAGCAGCCCAAATAGTGCCTGGCAATTCTGAAACATAGCAAAAGAATGTCATCTCCTATGAATCACGTCTTGTGCTGCTCGGGAGATGCAAACTAAATTTAGCAATGCTGAGGAATTATTGTAAAAAAAAAAAAAAACTAAGATGCTCATGTTTTTCTGGGATTTTTCCTTTTTCTTTTTTGGTGCATCAGGGAGGAGAAAGTAAAGTAACGTTTTAAAATCCATTACTTTCAGACTCACCAAATCATGTCTCAGTTGATAACTTTGGCTGCCTATACACGTGCACCTTCATGTTCTAATTAGAACACTCCAGTGTTGCTGCACAATCATGTGTATTAAGCCCCTGGCACATTTTAAAATGGCCATAGGGGCATTTTAACTAAATTTTGTCAAATAAGGTTTAGTTAAAGCGCCCTTGTGACCATTCTTAAACGTGCAGGGGCTTAATACCTGTAACACTGCAGCATCTTAATTAGGGCAGTTCTCTGAGAACCACTCTTTAATTAGAGTGGTTCTTCTCCCCCCCCCCAAACACGTGCATAGGCGGCTTTTATTACTAAAATTATTTCCTTGGTGCAGGGGGCTGGATCTGATGATCTTCCAAGGTCCCTTCCAGCCTTACAATCTATGAATCTATAAAATGTTAATGTTGCTGGGTTTTTTGGCTTCTGAATAAAACGCTACACTGAACCACTAAAAAAACTGTATTTATTAAGGTAGAAGCAAACTCAGCGAAAGCATGGGCAAAGGTCTTTGTTCCTATTGCCTGTGGCAAAACCTACTTACACGTACAGTTTTAATTTTCCTGTTAATTCTCCAGTGGATAGATGGACTTGAGTCTGTGGAAAACAGACTCAATAAGTAAGTCCCTGAATAAAATTGTGCACAATTAAACAGTTTAAACGTGTTTTAGAAACTTTCTATGATTCTTTTAAGCTCATAAGAAAGGAGATGTGCCCCGGTCCACAACTTCTCCACTTTCACTGCCAGCAAAAACTGTTCCCCAAAGATAGAGCTAAACTTACCTAAATACTACCTACAAATGTTCAGGTCATCTTTGTAGATGCAAAGGGATGCAACCAAGACACTTTAAGAATACAGGCGTGGAATTGTGCATAGCTAAGATGTATTTAAAGACCAGAAAACACCTGATTGTAATCTAAGTTACAGCCAACAACCATGATCTCTGTATTTGAGGTTGCATAATAGTGCTTTTTTTTTTTTTTTTTTTTAAACACCGGTATTATAAGATTCTGCACCTTCATTTCTTGTACTGAAATTTTGTGTTCTTGGTTTCTCCCTAAAGGAAAGAATTTTATTTTAAATACACATGATGGGAAATGTTTGATAGTCACAGTAGTAAAAAAAAATAAATAAATTATAGCATAAAACTTCCAATGTTAAAGTTCATGTTCTTAACTGCATGCAGCATTTTGCTAACTGAATCCAAGGTGAATAAACCATAACAAAAGGGGTTTTACATAGACAAGTTTAAAGCAAAAACGATCCATCCCTGGTAACCTGTTGCTCTGCTACCTCCCTTGCATGCATGTATGAGGCCACCTCAACACATTACAGGTATTGTGCAATTAACTGAGACCAGCTACACATGAAAAGTACCTATGACTCCATAAAATGGTTGAAACAGCTATAAAGTTAGACCTTGAAAATGTGTACTAACTCTTATAGCTGGTTGCTTTCCAGCTTTAAATTTTCACATGTAGCAGGGTCTCCCCTGCAACTGGGAGGCCTATCAGCTGCCTGAGCTCCCCCTGCACCATGCACAGTTGGGGCTGGGAGATCCCACAGCCACAGGCTCCTCTTCCTGGCAGCACCTCACAGCCACTGGGACACAGTCCTGCAGCTGCTGGACTTCTGGTCCTGGCAGTTGTGTAGTGCCACCAAGACAGAGTCCTGCAGCTGCAGGATTCTCAATCCCAGCTGTAAAATGCTGCCACAGCTGCAAGTCCCATCAGCTACAGAACTCACCAGCTGCAGGAGCTATTTAATTGCCAATGCAAAGGGGAGCCATTACAACATTTTTATTTTTCAGGACTGTTTGTTCCACCATTGACCTGTTCATACAACAGAATGAAAATCTCCTTCCATGAGCACTGCTGAAGTTCAAGATAACAGACAATAGAAGTGCAGCAGTCAGCCATGCAAGATAAACAGTATGAGCATGCACTGTCACAAACTGCAGATTTCAAGTTTTAGAAACGGAGCAATCTACAAAAGTAAGCTCCTTGAATTCCCAATGAAATACCCTATATTGAAAGACAAAATTGAGAGTTAAGAATGATTACACACAAAATCTGCCTAGGACTAACTGAAGTTGTATCGAATGCCATTTGAAAGGTATGTTCTTCAGATTTGCAATGAAATCTTGTTTCATTGATCTATTGCACTTAAGTCACATATAACTTCTATATTTATAATCCTTGTGTGCATTTTCATATAGATCTATTACAATAATCTGAAATATTAGTGAAAGGTTTTTGTGCTTGGAATTAAAAAAAATGCAGAATTGCTTTGTTAGAGCTAAATTAAACCCATTTCCCACTTAAAAAAACCCCACAGAGCAATATAGAAAAATGAGACATGGTATGATAGGAAGTTTTTAATGGTGCCAGTTTGGCTGTAAATTGGAAGTAACAGACCTAAAAGTACCTCACGCAGGTAATCCAAATAAACACCTTGCACAAAAAAAAAAAAAAAAAAGAGAGTGAAA